GGGTTGATGAATGTATCAATGCATATGGCATCTTCTTTTGCAATATTTTAAGGAAAATAATGAATGAATATTAGTTTTGGAAATGATCTTGGTATTGTATGATTAAGACTATAAGCTTTTGCATATCTGTTGGGGATTTTGAGGTATCTATTGTTAACATTTTGGAGGCATTACATAATTCAGGGACAAAAAGCTAGAGATGAATCAATCGTTACGTTCTTGCCTCTGTCGCCAAACTCGTCTTTATAAACTGGTGTTGCTTGATGTATATTGCTTCAACGTCTGTGAATCCGTCATTGTTAAAAGAACGAACAGTTGCAGATGAGAGAGATAATAAGAAGATAGGTAGTGGTAATGAGAGAAGACTGAAGTAGAAATGATAGGTAGTCTTCTTCTTTATCTTACATGAGACATTGATATTTCTCTCTCTTTCTCTCTCTCTCTCTCTCTATATATATATATATATATATGGGTTTAAATTGGGAATATGTGATGCTAATAGGGGAGATTTGAGAAGAGAGATGGAGATTTGGGTTGGGTGTTTAGGGAGAGAGAAAATAAGGATGGATGGTTTTTTCTAGAGTTTTTCGGGGAAGCGTACGTGTGTATGTGTGTGTGTGAGGAGACAACAGAGAGACAGCTAAATCACAGCTCAAAGTCCACTACATTCTCTAAATTTCTCTTTCAAACTTTCTCGCTCATCATTTTCTTTCCTTGTATAGGCATCTACATACCTTGTGGATCCAAACATAGTGCTAATTTGGGCCGATAGACATAATGTCGTTATGAACCCAAACTAAACACATCTAGATCTATAGCCTTAGCCTCCATTTGGGAAGTGGGTTGGCTTTTTAGATTTTTGACTTTTTGGCTATTTTAGCCTGGGGCTAAAAAACTTGGTTTGAGAAGGACTTTTTGACTTTTTTGACTTTTTTTGTGAGAGAATAGTGTAATGATTATGGATTGGATTTGATGTTTTATTTTTTGTGACTAAAATAGCTTATTTTGTTTTTTGTGGCTATTTTAGCCCCTAACCCACCAAAACCAACTTCCCAAACTACGCCTTAAAAGTCATAGGTTTAGTTTGGGAACAAATTATGTTAGTAACTTTTTAACTTTTTACGAAAAGATATGTAGAAAAGTAGAGAGAGTAATGTAACAACTTAAAGTGACTTTTTGACTTTTTAGTTAAAACTAAAAGTTGCCAAACGAGAATTTTTGGACTAAGCCCCCTACTTAAAATGAATGTCAATAACAATTTTTTTTAAATGAATTTTTTAAAAGTAACCCATGACATTTCACATAGTATCTTATTAATATCCAGTAAATTTCAGCTTTGCTATGTATTTTTAATAATGTATTGAAATTTTTATTAACAAATAACTAGGAAAAATTGCAAATAAGTGGAATGTCTACGAAATATTTATAAATTCATGAAAAACCTTATATTTTTAATTACTATTAAAATTGATAAATTTTTCCTTCTATTATAATTTTATTTATTTTTTTTTAAAAAAAAAACTTGCATTGATATGCAATTTCCCCAAATAAATAAGTGTAGGTAAAAAAAATTTGGTAAGAGTTACAAGTTTCTTTTCTCAATAAATTTTGTTACTAAAAAAGATAGAGGTACAAATTAAACTGTCAATACTCTGTTTATTTTTTAATTTTCACATACATTTTTGGGAGATTTGGTGATAGCCCCCTCACTATCTAATATGTCTTTCAAAAGGACAAGAATTATATAAGTACTTTCAAAACTCCCTAATATTTTAAAACTTGTTTCTTTTACTATATTACCCTCATATCTATCAGCTCTCCTATTAAGCCATCTTCACTATATATTTCAGAGTAAAATTTTACTCTGTATAAAAGTAAAATTTTACTTTGTATAAAAGTAAAATTTTACATTCTGAAACTAAAAGTAAAATTTTACTCTATATAAAAGTAAAATTTTGCTCTGAATAAGAGTAAAATGTTACACTCTGAAACTAAAAGTAAAATTTTACTCTGTATAAAAGTAAAATTTTACTCTGAAAAACTAAAAGTAAAATTTTACTCTGTATAAAAGTAAAATTTTACTCTGTATAAAAGTAAACTTTTACTCTGGTTCTGTCAAATGAAAAAAACAGAGCAATAGAACCAGAGTAAAATTTTACTCTGGTTCTGTCAAATGAAATTAGATAAAAACAACAAAAATAAATCAAAAACAAACAAACAAACAAAAACAAAACAAATTAATCAATAAATCCACATATCTAATTGAAACGAAAAACTTCTAAAACTCGATCAATAATCACACATTGAAAAAGAATACATGTGTTCAACAACACTCATACACACAAATATATATATATATATATATACATATATTCTACTGTTCCTCATCCATATCTTTCCCAACCTCCTGTTCAACTTCTTTCAATCTCGAAACTTCAGCCTTCACATTCAACATCGCCAGCATCTCATCAACAACCTCGTCATGTTTTTTCTCTGCTTCCAATTGAGCCATCTCCACCGCACGCCGAATCTCCATCTGCTCCGAAACCCTAGCTTTCGAATCTCCAACGACATCCTCATTCAATTTCAACATACTCAAAGTCACATCGTTGCTGATTATGAAGATGAAGAGAAGACCTTCTGCTGAAGCTTCGAAGACGCGACTATGGCGGCGGCTTGTCGACGACCTTCTGCTGAAGCTTGGAAGATGCAACTATGGTGATTATGATACAGTTGATGACGAAACTGATTATATATGCAGAAGTTGAGGGTATAATAGTCCTATAAAATATTTAAATAATAAATTTTGTCCTTTATAGAGTTAATTTGGTAAGAGTTACAACTGTCTTTTCTCAATAAATTTTGTTACTAAAAAAGATAGAGGTACAAATTAAACTGTCATTACTCTGTTTATTTTTTAATTTTCACCTACATTTTTTGAGTTTTTACTTTCTTTTTCTTTTTTTATTTTTTATTTTTGTACCTTTAATTAATTTTTTAAATATTTTAAATAATTTTTTTTAATATGCTAGATATACCTAACCTAAATGTATTTCAACAGTAAAATACTTACGGAAAAATATTTACAAAATTCACTAAATTGAAAAAAAGTACATTTTTGTATATATTGAATTTTCTTTTTTAGATTTCTCCCCCAAAAAATTACTTTTAAGGTGCATTTAAAAGTTTTTTTTTTTTTTTGACTAAATATGAAAAAATTCATTAAAAAAAGCAAAATACAAAAAATATAAAACTTAAAAACCAAACAGAGTATTCTATCAACTACTCACGTGTATAGGTTGGTAAAATATTGTATTTGAGTTAGTAATCGTAGCAAACTTAATTACATTTTTTAAAATCTTTAGTAATACTTTTTGAAAATTATGTTGTTTTTTTAGGCCCATCTTGTGGAGATAAATTTAAAATTTAAAAAAATTTAAAAATTTTATAAAAATTAAAGGCAAAAAATATTAAAAAAATGTTAACTATTTTTAACTATTTTTTTGTTCTTTGTAATATTTTTTTAAAAACTCAAATTTTCCAGTCTGTCTAATTAAATGGAAACTTAAAAAAACATACTGAATTTTTTTTTGAAAAAAGCAATTCGAAATACGAGAACAGATTCTCCCCGATCTACGACCTAAATTGAAGAGTGCTATCATAGTTTTGGGACTCACTACGAGTCTCGTTTTAATGTTTTAAATCGTTCATTATAAGACTTTTGATGCACCTCATTTCTATAATTAAATAAATAAAAATCCGATAATTATAACATGAATAATTTATCAGAAGTGAATAATATACATAAAAAATATATAAAATTAACTATTTGAATTATCAAAACATGATAGAAAATAGACCTCACGGATTAAACAGTGCAGCCTATTTAGATTTAGAGTGGAAGAGGTGTTGCATAACTGTTGTGTCTCAAATTGAGATTTATTATGAGTTTATTTTTATGATCTGAACGGTTTATTTTATCAAACTCATCGAATATTTTAAGTATGTCAAAAATTATATTAATTAGATATTAGTAACTATGTAATTGGATTACATTTATTATAAAAAAATAAATAATATATTTTTCTTGCAAAATAGTATAAAAAATATGCAATTCGATTAAGTAATTATCGATTTTGATCAATATAACATTTAATATATATAAAATATATGATAAATTCCATAAAATAAACTGTTCAAATCATAAAAATAAATTAATAATAAACCTCAAATAGATGTACCAAATGCACAGCAACAACGAGTCCGGATTCTCGGCCGCCCTTCTCGGCGGCCGTCCCAGCAGCCCCCCCAAAACGACGTCGTTTTGGGGGATTTTTTGATTTTTTTTTTCTTTCTTCTTCCTCGTTCGAACAGAACCAGAGGGGAGGGGAGGGGAAGAAGAGAGAGAGGAAGGGAGAAGAAGAGGGAGCCGCCGGTGGGCCGGACTGGAGGGGGCCATATTCACCGGGGAGGAGGAGGAGGAGGAGGCGGAGGCGGGCCGGAGGCGAAGGCGACGGCGGTGCAGCTGCTGCGACGAACTAGATCGGGCGACAATCGGACGGCTGGCGAGCTCGACGACTTGCGACAGCGAGCTCGACGACTTGCGACAGCGAGCTCGATGACCTGCGACGGCGAGTTTTCGGCGAATCCGGACCCCCTCCCCTCCCCTTCCTCTCTCTCTTCTTCCTCTCCCCTCCCCGCTGGTTCTGCGAAGAAGGAAGAAAAAGAAAAAAAAAAAAAACGAAAAAACCCCCCAAAACGACGTCGTTTTGGGGGACTGCTGGGAACGGCCGCCGAGAAGGGCGGCCGAGGATCCGGATTCCAGCAGCAACACCATTCGCATTTGGAGTGGCCCAATCCCCCATGCACACACTTGTCCGCCGTAACAGTTGCAAAACATTCATCGCCGCTACACTACGAGTGCCACCTTGCTTGGTTTCTAGTTTTTCAAAACACTTTTGAGAAAATTTTATTTTTTTATTTTTCGTATTTTTTTATTTTTATTGAAGCTGCTGTATGAGTTGCTCGAGGCCAGGGCCAATGAAGTAATCGCCGAGATTGGCAGGGAGCCGAAACCCAGGATCAGAAGAGTTGTTCTCCTCGATGACAAGTTGGATGTTGGCACCACCGGCTCTTAGGGTACTGATGTAATTCTGAAGGAATGAGAAAGGATTAAACTCATCACCACCGCCGCCGCCGCCGCCGCCGCCCAAGAGAGCGGAGAGATCGGTATGGTTTTGAAGTTCGATGCCGCCTCCTCCACCACCAGCTGAGGAGGTTGAGAAGACGATTGGGAATCCGCCGAAACCGGCAGAGAACGAAGGGAAACCGGAGAGGTTGTCGGATGAGAAGGGATCGGGGTTGGGGTTAGGGTTAGGGTTAGGGTTAGGGTTAGGGTTAGGGCTGGAAACAGGATCTTCATATTCTTCGAGGAAGCCGCTGTTGCAATTGGGGCAAATAAGTTCGGAGGTAGGTGAGTGCGTTATTGAGACCGTACGATTACACTGGTAACAGAAATATAGTGTGGCGGCGGCGCCTCCGCCAGAGTTTCCGGTCGATGACATGTATTCTCGCAGAGAGAGAGAGAGAGAGAGAGAGAAAATTTGCGGTCAACAACAGAATTTCCGCCAGAACGAGGAAGATCCAGCTTGCGCGTCGTTGCCGTTGCTCACTTTTCTTTCCCCCAGTCTTTGGCCCTGTTTGGCAGGTACGATTTTTTTGGATTAAAATTCACAAAAATATAAAACAAAATATGTTAAAATAATTAATAAGGTAAAATATTTTGTCAAATTTATAATCATTTCATATTTTTTTTTATAAATATCACATCCAATTATAAATTATCTTTTTAAATATAAAAATTTTAATTTATTAAAATAATTAAAAATTAAAATAACATTAAAATAGCTTAAAAAAAAAGTGATCTGAAGTGTTGGGCACCTTTGTCACCTTTGGTCAGAGATTCGTCACGGTCTGTTTAATTCTTATCATTCAAATGTGGGTCCATTTTGGAAAGAACAAAATAAGCAACATTTTTGCTTTTTTTGAAACTGGTAAAAAAGTTGATTATTTAGAGATTATTTAAAATGATTTAAATAAAATTATTTTCTAATTCTTTATAAAATAAAATATATAAAAAATGATATAATTTAAATAAATATACTTATTTAAATAAGTTTACTTATAGTTTAAGTGCCTTATAGTTTATGTTAATTAATGCCTTAGACCCATTTTTGAAAGCAAGATATATTTTTTTAGTTTTTTTGGTTTTTTTTATTTTTAAAATATGTAAAAAAATAAGGACAAATTACATATACCCCTCGAGATTTAGTAAAATTACAGATATCTCTTGAGATTTGAGAAATTACAGATATCCCCTGAAGGTTATATTTGCATAACAAATTAGGAGGCAAATTGTTATGAAAATATAAATTTCATGGGGTAATTTGTTATGAAAATATAAACCTCAGCGGGTATCTGTAATTTCTGAAACTTCAGGGGATATCTGTAATTTAACTAAACCTCGAGGGAGGTATATGCAATTTGTCCAAAAAATAAAGAAATAATATTATTTAAATAAAATAATAAACTGGTTTTTTTTTTAAATATTCTAAAAAAATATGTATGTTGTTGATTAAGTATTTTTAATGAAATTTAAGATTTTAAATTTAAATCTTACTTCCGTATTTAAATAATATTATTTTATTTTAAGGTAAAAAAATGGGCAAATTACAAACACCTCCTCGAGGTTTGATAAAAATACAGATTTCTCCCTGAGATTTGAGAAATTACAAATTGCCCCATGATGGTCAAATTTTCATAATAAATTAGAAAAAATTAGGGGAGAATCTGTATGAAAATAAAAACCTCAAGGGGCAATTTGTTATGAAAATATAAACCTCAAGGGTGGGATGTAATTTCTCAAATCTCAAGAAAAAATATGTAATTTCACTAAATTTTGAGGGGCGTTTATAATTTGCCCAAAAAAAATTTAACACGTAAGAGAAAAAATAACCACCACACTATTTGATATTAAGGCTAGGTTTGGTAAAACTTATATAATCCATCTTTTTATGTTTTTTTCATCACATCACCTCTTTATTTTTCTATACATCTTTTTATAAAATGACAAAAAATATATTTTTTTAAGATATCCCAAACCAACTCTAAATTATGTGCCCACATATATAGTGTATAGATATCAATAAATAATTATATAGTGTATAGATATCAATAAATAATTAATAATAATATTTCTCCAGCTATACTTATCACACTCACTCCCTATTCTCTGCCTCTTTTTACTTTGAGCGTCAGAGTCTCTCCAATGGCGGACCAGAATACAAGTGAGTTGTATATATATGCATGTGTATTCACAGTATATAAATCGATTCTTTTTTTGTAACCGACAAAATTGGTTGCATTAATGGCGGATAAGCCCTTATCTACATTGCCAGACAATTCAAGTCCCAACCCCACTACTAGTACTAAAAGAAATTCTAGTTTCGAGTGTTTTTCTGGGTTTTTTTCGTTTGTTCTTAAATCAGTGCTTAACTGGTACCAACTCGATTATTAAGGGTAATGGGGGATCTTCATCTCCAATTAATATGACTGTAAGAAACTTGGTTTTGTGCCTCTGATTTTTCTCAAATCCAAGTCATTTTCTCGGAAATCAAACAGAGAGTGGTACCAATCAAGCAACTGAAAAAAGGACACAAATGGGGACCCAGTTACCCAAATCAGCAAAACAAGAACAGTTTAATGGAAGTTAGGGAAGGAGTGGGTATGGTTGGTGGGTTGTGTTCCATTTTTTTTTAGGTTAATAGAGAAGCCAGCATGTTCTAATGTGTTTGGTAGAACTTTTTTGAGTCAATTTATGATTTTTGGTTTTTAAAAAGTTTTTTTAGACTGTTTGGTTAAACTTATTTCAAACAGTTTCTAATTCTAGCAATTTATTTTAAGTCAAAAAAACTTATTCTGAGAAGTTGCTCACCCTTTGCTTCTGATTATCAGCTTCTGCTGTGGACTTGTTAATTCATGGTTATACTCTTATATTTTTTTATTTTTTATTTTTTTAAAAATAGAAAAAGACCTAAGGACTATAGAATATTATTATTATTATTTTATGAGAAATGTAGACAAATAGTGAATAATAAAAAATAAAAGTTAATTGAAAAAACTACTTCACAGCTTATTTAACAAATACTACTCAGCAATTTAAATCTATAATCCAACAGTTACACCAACCAGATTAACAGCTTCTGATTAAAGTCATAATCTATAACCTATTAAGTTATAATTTATAATCTGTTTTAACAATTACACCAAACAGAACTATTGTATACTTCTCTTTACTTTTATTATTATTATTTTTTTGTTCATTTTCTTTAGGGATTTTGGGTTGGGTTTATTTTCCAGATTTGTGAACTATAAAGGAAGTAGAAAAGTCTACAGATTGATTTACACTTGACCCATCTCTATATAATTTACAGGGAGCACAAATAGCACTGAGTCCAGATCTTCTGCTATACATTCCTGCGGTGGTTCCTACTGTGCTATACAAAACGATGTCATTTTGTGTTAAACTTTTTTTTTTTAATTCAAAAAATAGATTTCCCTTGTTTCCCCCTTTTTCTCTTTCTCTGAATCGTGTTTTCCCTATTTTCTCTTTCTTTGAGTCGTCCTTTCCCTCTTTTCTCTTTCTCCGTATCGTCTTCTTCGCCTTTGCACCATCTATCTGAGTTAGTGAACCCTAGCAAAGAGATAGAGGCATCGTGAGAGGCGGAGTGAGGCACTGACGTGAAAGAGATGGAAGAGCAGCGCGATGGTGAGTCCGACGGCGATGCGATGGCAGGAAGGCCACATTGCGGCGACAACGAGGTATATTTCATCATCTTGCTGTTATATATATATTTATAGATTTGTTTCAGATTTACCCATTTCAGTTTGATTCATAGAAAAATATTATCTTGCTATTATATATATACTATATATATATATATATATATCAAATTTGATTCAGATTAATTCAAATTCGATTCAGATTTTAATTCAAATTGATTCAAATTTGATTCAGATTAACCCATGTTAATTCAAATTTGATTTGAATATATTTGATTCAGATTTTAATCTGTTAATTCAAATTCAGATTTTTGAAATCAATTAATTCAAATTTTTTCATGTGAAATGGATTCAGTCAGTGAAGTAAGTCAGATTTTTTCATATGAAATTTTATGTTCTATATATATAGTTAATCACATTGATCTATTTTCAGATTCATAAATTTAGTTGTGGATTCATATAATTTGCCTCCATTATATGGTTTATATATATGAATTGTAGGTAAATGTGATTTATATATATGAATGTGGTTTATATATATGAATTGTAGGTAATGGAATAAAATAATATTGTTGATGATTGTGGCTGGAAGCCGAAAGTGGGAATGCCATTTGACTCTGAACAAACCGCATATGACTTTTACAATATGTATAGGGGAAAGGTGGGCTTTAGTATTAGGAAAGCCTATGCAAACAAGAACAGACAGACGAAGGAGATAACATCACGTACGTTTGTATGTTACAAAGAGGGAAGTCGGGGTATTGACAAACGAGATCCACTTGTCAAAAATCCAAGACAAGAGGTAAGATGTGGTTGTGGTGCCCGATTTAGTATCAAGTTAGATAGAATATCAGGAAAATATATTGCTTGTGATTTTGTCGAACATCATAATCACAACCTCATTTCGTCATGGGTGGTAATTCTATTCAGGTAATATTTAATAGTAACGTGGTCTTTATATGGTTAGTTTTGTGAATTAATTTCATTAAAATTGATTTGCTTGGCAATGTAGTCGGGTGGTACTGTTTACATTTCCCAAGGTGAATCACAACCTCATTTCGTCATGGGTGGTAATTCTATTCAGGTAATACTTAATAGTTTATATCCTTTCATTGGGTTGCTCGACATTTAATTTTTTTTTATTTTTACATTGCTTTGCCTGGCAATGCAGTCTGGTGCTGCTGTTTATACTTACCAAGGTCAATCACAATCTCGTTTCATCATGGGTAGTAATTCTAATCAGGTAATTCTAATATTTATTTGTGTGCAAGTTTTTAAGAAAATGTTAAATAATGACCATGTTTTTTAGTAGAACATTTTGTTTACATACTTTATGTTGTCAATTTTTCTCAATCACAACCTCATTTCGTCATGGGTATTAATTATAATAAGGTAATATTAATTATAATAAGGTAATATCAATGTTCGATAATGTTTTTTTTGTTTTTAAAAAATTTTGGTTACATGCTTTATATTGGTTGTATTTAGGATCATCGTCATGATATCTACATTTCTCCATCTCAACCTCGACCTCAAGTTGTTATGGGTGGTACAAGCGGTCCTCCTCTTACGTATGGTACATATGATGTGAGTTATAATTAGTGACATAGTTTACATTTAAAATGTAGTATACATTGTAATCAAAGTTTAATAGATGGTTTGGTCTATTGTAAGGAAATAACACACCTCAGTCAATGCCTTCTGTGTATCCCGCTCACAGATC